CTTGGGTTGCTGCTGCACTCTTCTTTTTCTCGCGTTTTTCTGCGACTGTTATAACTGTGTTAACCGTCAGTCTCCAGGTGCCTCGGTCCTCGGCCTGCACTTCCCAGCTGTTTGGTGAAATTCCGCATGCTTTCATCATGTCCCTCTTGCACACATCCTTGAAGCGGAGTGAGGGGCGGCCGACTCTTCTAGTGCCACAAGTCGGACGTGTTCCAGCCATCGAAGACGGACTTTTCTCAGCAGGGAGTACTTGCTGTGGATACTTGCACGCTGAAGGATTTCGCTGTGTGGGACGTGGTTTTGTCAGCTGATATTCAGGATGCACTTCAGGCACCATATATGGAAGGAATTGAGTCGATTTTCTTGCCTCATGTAGGTGCTCCAGGTCTCACTTCTAGATAGGAGGGTACTGAGAACGCAGGCCTGGTAGACTTGAGTCTTGGTGGGCACTGTCAGCGCACTGTTTTCCCACACCCTTTTCGTTAGTCGGGCTATAATGGTGTTCACTGGTACAATAGTCAAACAGGATGGCTCGCATAAAATGTATTGACTAATATGAATAGAAGGTGTAATGAAAAGAGGAAATGCAACTTTATTAAAAACAGAAGCATACATAATGCACATGCAGATAAAAGTGCGAGAGACATTGATACTATCAACAATATCTGCTCAAGTACTGCACACAGAAATTATTTATTGATTCAGCGGATAAAAGTTAGTTGGATACAGTGTCACAGTGTGCGGAAAAATACTATTTAACAATAAAAGATTATAATAGTAATCATTCACAAACGAATAATTGTAATGTCCAATGTGCATGGAAATAGTATATGCAAATCATAACGTTCAGTTTAACTCAGTATAATTAGCGTATACACGCAAAGCTCAGACAACTGAAAAGTTAAAAACCCCGAAAATTTCTGGAAACTTATTAATAATATTTGAAAATAAGCACGATCATTCGACTATTACACTAGGTACGCTTTATGACTGTTTTTAAGGATTACATTGTGAATATTGATGAAGAATTGCATAGTAACCTCGACGATCTGGTCATCGAATTGGATAACGATGATAACATAATGAATTCACCGATTACTGGAGAGGAAATCATTAAATATAATAAAGCTCTAAAACAATTTTTACAAAACCCTTTCGAATGACAGTACACTAAATGAATATGTTTAATAAACATCAGAATTACTTCTTCCCGCCTATATCTCCTATATTTTTCCTTTTCAATTTAATACTTGAGACAGGGTTTATCCCAGAATCATGGCCCTAAAGGTATCATAAGGCCAGCTGATAAGCATAGAACATGATATGTATCATAAGGCCAGCTTATAAGCATAGAACATGATATGTATCATAAGGCCAGCTTATAAGCATAGAACATGATATGTATCATAAGGCCAGCTTATAAGCATAGAACATGATATGTATCATAAGGCCAGCTTATAAGCATAGAACATATGTATCATAAGGCCAGCTTATAAGCATAGAACATAATATGTATCATAAGGCCAGCTTATAAGCATAGAACATGATATGTATCATAAGGCCAGCTTATAAGCATAGAACATGATATGTATCATAAGGCCAGCTTATAAGCATAGAACATGATATGTATCATAAGGCCAGCTTATAAGCATAGAACATGATATGTATCATAAGGCCAGCTTATAAGCATAGAACATGATATGTATCATAAGGCCAGCTTATAAGCATAGAACATGATATGTATCATAAGGCCAGCTTATAAGCATAGAACATGATATGTATCATAAGGCCAGCTTATAAGCATAGAACATGATATGTATCATAAGGCCAGCTTATAAGCATAGAACATGATATGTATCATAAGGCCAGCTTATAAGCATAGAACATGATATGTATCATAAGGCCAGCTTATAAGCATAGAACATGATATGTATCATAAGGCCAGCTTATAAGCATAGAACATATGTATCATAAGGCCAGCTTATAAGCATAGAACATAATATGTATCATAAGGCCAGCTTATAAGCATAGAACATGATATGTATCATAAGGCCAGCTTATAAGCATAGAACATGATATGTATCATAAAGTCAGCTTATAAGCATAGCGGAGATCCCTCCAAACCCGAAAATTACTGACCGATTACTATCCTTAGCTGTTTAAGTAAGTTGTTTAACGCCATTCTGAACTCACGGATCGAATTTTTTCTTAAATATCACAACTTATTAGCAGAAAACCAACTCGAATTCAGTATTGGTACTCAACAACAGATCATATATTTTCTTTACATGCATTATCAGACAGCTTGAAAGACAAAAGGAAAAAATTATTTTTCTCATTTATTTATTTCAGTAAAGCTTTTGATTTGGTTTGGCGGTCGGGTCTTTGTAAAAAAAATATTGTAAAAGCAGTATAAATGGTAGGTGTTTTAGAATTTTTCTCAATTTACATCAAAATATTAATTCTTGTGTAGTGTTCGCTGAGCAACGGTCTAGATTTTCCTAAGTTCTTTGCAGTGTTAGACAAGATGAAAATCTCTCGCTGATATTATTTTCTTTAGTTCTTAACGATGTGCAGTGTTTTCTAAAAGAAAATTGTTTTAAAGGCATTGCACTAGAAACAGACGGTTCTGATACCGAAATGTACTTGAAATTGTTGATTTTACTGTTGTTACGTATATGTAATTAAAATGCTTGTGTATTAGTTTTAAAATTCTTTTTTATGTCTTGCTTCATTACATTTTATTGAAATGGTTATTTTCACGAAATTAGATATTTTTTTGAAGTAAATTCTGTTTATTTAGAACGTAAAACCCATTACAGAAGCATTACTTTTAGCTCACTCTGGTTCATGGAGTTTGTATACTTCGAGAGATAACGATTGGCTGTTTCCAAGGTCATGTCGGCCCACGTGTTACCCATATGTAAACAATGTTGTTTTTATTATTAGTTCTTAAGTGGGATCCACACTGGGGTACGTGATGTCTTGCAGTAAGTGACCACGTAATATATTTCATGATCTAAAATTATGTTTAAGACTTACGTTTTTAGTGATTTTTGAGTCAGACGTAATATAATACCTTTTTTTGTTCAGAGGTATTTTTGTTGTTGCTAGATGTCCAATACTGCATTCATCTGACGTCATCTACCGCCATCTTTGAACTTCATCGAGAATCGAACCTGGATTCAATTAGAACTGTTTAGTGATAGGACTTATATTTTTCGATTCTATGATTAATTTTGGATTATTTTTACATACTGTAAGTCCTATTTAATATTTTTTACATTGTTTTCTAGGAAAATAAACTATTTTTGTTAAAATTTACAAACATTGTTGATCACTCTTTTCTTTGTTACTTTGAACGAACCAAGAACTGTAACACTGTATGTAAATGACACTGTACTACTTGGAACTGATGCTGTCTCTTCCCAAGAAAACCTAAATGTTTCATTGAGTACAATAATATCTGGAAATGAATGCCAGTTTAACAAAAACAAAAATATTAATTTTGAATTGAGTAACAGCAGTCAGTTCAAATTTATATTAGGTGGGAAAATATGTCTTTTTGTGAGGGATTCACATACCTGGGTATTATTTTTTTTTCTTCGGAAGATCGGGAGATTTTTAAAAACTATAAAATGCAACGTTCAACAAGCAAACAACGCCATGCATCTTCTCTATAAAAGAATAAACAATCTGCACATTCTAATAGATTCACATTTACAGCTATTCCTTGGCGCTGTTCAACTTATTTTGCTTTATGGATGTGAAGTTTGGGGGCTCGAAAATACACAGCTTATTGAATATTTTACCACCGAATTCCTGAGAAATTTAACAAATCTCAGAAAGAGCACTAGAGGTCACTTTCCTATGCTCAGTAGGAAAACAATTGACATTTATATCCAATGTCACATGATTGGGTTTTGGATCGCAATAATAAATACAAAATATTCCAAAATTTCCAAAACATTATAAATTTATCAAGTGATATCCACTCTATTTATAAGCAGGGTGAACAAAGAAGCAAACTGATTCCAGTTGAAAGAACTGATCCACATATCAAGCATCTTTATGTATTCCTCAAGCTCTGAAAGCAAGCGTTACACAATCGTTAAATGACTTACTTATACAGGATTGGAGTGCAAGATTAGAAGCCACGCCAAAAAGTACGACTTACCAAATATTCAAACATGATTTAAACTATGAGAAGCATTTTAAACTAGCAACCACAAGTTTCACAAGAGCGCAGTCGTTTGGAAAGCATGCAAAGATAAGACAGAAAATGCATTATGGGAGATTGGGATGACATAGGTGATGAATTTTATTACTTACTCGGCTATCCTTTTTTCTCTAGCTGTAGATTCCTACTATCTTTTTACCGTATTTATCTAAATGTGAGAAAATTAACGTAGCAGGATTTACACTTACGTGGAGTTGTACACAGCTTACACTTATAGTACTCCTACCTAGTACTCTTTTTGAATATTAGAATTTTTTAAGTTGAACTTAATTTCTAAATCAATTTATACCACATTATATAATATTGGATTGATGCTGTCATTCCTGGAACAGAACAATTTTGGATTGCAAGAAATTAACTGTACTCTATGTTTAAAAATGTGCAATTTTAAAAGTAAAAAGTGAGTGACACTCTGGAGTATATGCTGGGGATAATTAGAATTTAATGCAAGTCACAACACTTATTTATTAGCTCTGTGGCAAAATAGCATTTGGTAGATATCATACAATTGGTTCTTAATTCAAAATTGTTATTATGCTTTATCAGCTACAAAAATGATCATATTTGATGCAAAAGACTTGGACCAAATTCATTTTTGAATGCCACTTAACGTTTTCTGACAGATACAATTTCAAATTGTCAAAAAAAACTTTTTCAACTACTTAGCATCTTTTCGCAAATAACATCAGCTGCCCCATAAACCGTTCTTAATTCTGGTTTTATTTAATTATTCAGTGTATTGACTTCTTTTATAGACCACTAAGATTGCTTAGTGGTTAGAGCGTCAGCCTCGGATGCGGGAGGTCTCGGGTTTCATTCCCGGTTGAGTAATACCAAAAGACTTTAAAAAATGTTACTAACGGTTGCCTCGCTTGACGCTCAGCATTAAGAGGTTAGTGTTAGGACTGGTCAGCCTGGTGTCAGGATAATGTGACTTGGTGGGACATCATGCTACATGTCAGCGGCATGATGCCCCAGTGCTAGACATCACTATAAACTGTCACACTGCAGACATCGTAACGATATGACTGAAAAATTGTTAAAGCTACGTTAAAAAATCTATTTCACTCGCATACATACTTCTTTTATAAAGGTTAATAACCATGTCATTGAGATAGTTATCCATTGGCACTTGACACGGGGAAACGGGGGTGGGTGGGTAATGTACTGGGGGTAATGGACGGGGGTAATTGTCCTGCTACAGATAATCTCGTTACTACAGCCACGAGTGTTGTATCATTCCCCGTCTAGAACGGTCTCCCGGTATATGTGCAGTCAGTATAAAAAAAATAATAATAATAATAATAATAATAATAATAATAATAATAATAATAATAATAATAATAATAATAATAATAATAATAATAACAAAACACCATTTTTTTAAACATTCGTTTTGTTTAGGAGCAAGACCATTTGACTTTGACCAATGGAGGGTTTAACCATGGACATCAAAGCAAGCCCTTTCCGTGCAGAAGACCATCCCGTTATTGCAGCCACACGTATTACATCCATCGGAAGACTTGAAACTGTCACCAGTATGGTATGTTATCCCATTGTAGAGGCACGTCAAAACTTCAATAATAATAATAATAATAATAATAATAATAATAATAATAATAATAATAATAATAATAATAATAATAATAATAATAATAATAATAATATTCTTCTTCTTCTTCTTCTTCTTCTTCTTCTTCTTCTTCTTCTTCTTCTTCTTCTTCTTCTTCTTCTTCTTCTTCTGTCACATCAACAACAACAACATATGATTAAAAAGTACCAGTAGTAAAAATAAACCAATAATACAATGCAAATAATACAAACATTATCGCTTTAAGCCATTTGAAACTTGTGCAGACTTACAGTAATTACTTAAGTAAATAAGTAATTAAGGCCGTAACTGTTCCTTTATGACCTCTTGAAAAAAAATAAGAGCACGTGAAACTCAGTGTAGGCCAACATTCCCTCCTGATACGAGCACTTGTTGCAACCATTAGAGGAAGGATTGCTCTGACCTGCGTGGTATGTGTGTCCACCATAATAACACGTTTCTAAAAATAGTGTCCTTGGTGTTACCACACTTTACGGAATAAAAATTTAAAATATTGTGTACGAGTTAAAGTGTTTGTCTCCAAAATTAGTGTGCTACATACATGTAACTTTCTCTGAATATTTATTCTCTCTGTTTATCTGTCTGTCAGTCATTCAGTGCAGCATTCTGTCCCTCTATGTATATATGACTGTTGATCTATTTGTGCATAAGAAAATGAATAATAATAATAATAATAATAATAATAATAATAATAATAATAATAATAATAATAATAATAATAATAATAATAAGAAGAAGAAGAAGAAGAAGAAGAAGAAGAAGAAGAAGAAATAAAGAAATATATAAGTTTAAATGTTTTGAAATGCAATTTTAGTTTTCAACGTTGGACCATTTGACAAATCAATAATTCAACTGATTTCATATAAGCACACTTGCTCTGAGCGTGTCTGCACGTGCACGTGGTGTATCCGTCAGAAATTTGTACGATGGAGATATGTTTGGAACACTTTTGTTTAACTGAATGGTCAATGACTTGGATGTAATACAAACAACTGTTTTCTGGTAAGAACATTATAGTGTAGTCTTTTGTGTAGTTAGTTACTAGTTTCGTACTGTTCGTCGTCAGTTTATTGCATTTATATATATATATATATATATATATATATATATATATATATATATATATATATATATATATATATATATATATATATATATATATATATATAATTCTAACCAAATCAATATAACATGTGACACGAACAACATAATTTGTCAGCACAGGATGTCCATGCGGTCAGAATAAAATATTTATAAAATGTACATAGAAACATTTTTAAGTTTTAAGTATTTGGAAAGCTTCGGAATAAGTAGACCATGAGGAATTTTTGGAGAAACAATCAGCAAGTACATTAGCTTATTTCATGCTTAGTTTTAAAATTGTTGTTATTTAGCTTCATATATTGGAAGGAATTGTATTTTCCCATTCCATTTATTTTGCAAATCGTTTCCCAAACTTTTTTTTTATTGAGGAACGAGAGTTTAAAGTTAAAACATATTTTTTTTTCATGATGTTTGTTTACTTTCTTTAATCGTGCGGCGAGTTTTAGCCCGAACAATACGGTACTGAGTTAAATTTTCGGGCGTTGGACGATTATTAAATTTTTCAGTGCTGCTCGGCGTTGTCTAATGGCTTCTTTACATTCTTTAGTGAACCATGGCTTGGGGGTTCTTTGACAATTTGGCGAGGACTTACGAATGGATTATTCTGCAATCTCAATTAAGACAGATGTAAGTTGTCGAATAGGATCATCATCGTCAAGTACGGTATTAACTTTAAACTCTCGTTCCTCAATAAAGAAAGTTTGGGAAACGATCCGCAAAATAAGTTAAGTCTGGCTGCACAGAGTGTTTCAAATATGGCCCAGTCAGCCTTCTTTAAATTCCACTGTAGAATCGTGTCATCAATTGTAACATCAGTGTTCTTAAGAGAGGTTGGAGAGTGATCACTGCTATGAAGGTCATCAGCGACCTTCCAATTATAATCCAAAAGTAGTGACGAGAACAAATTAAGTCGATACATGTGTATGTAACCGTTCCTGGGTGCAGGTAAGTCGGAAAATTGGTATTAAATAGACACAAGTCGCGTCTAGTAACAAAATATTCAACCATTTTGTCCCTGTCGCTTATGTAATTAGATCCCCATACCATGTTTTGGGCATTAAAATCACCAAGTAAAAAACAAAAGGTGCGGGAAGTTGTTGAACAAGCGTGTCTAATTCATTTGGTGAGAAGTTGGTGTTTGGTGGTATGTGTACAGAACAAAATGTAATCACTCGATTTAGAGTGACACTTACAGCAACAGCTTGCAAATTTGTATTTAAAGGATTTGATTCGATGTGGGGATCTAGTGTTCACAGCAATAGAAACCCCTCTTGAGGCCCTGTCGAAGTTCTGAAAGTAGGCGTTAAACATGAGTAGTTTTTAAGTGTGATCTCCGTATCTTTTAAATAGGTTTCCTGAAGGCATAATATAGCAGGATCATATTCATTTAAAAGTAGGAGAATATCATTGCAATTAGCTTGAAGTCCTCGACAATTCCATTGTATAATCGTGTTCTTCATTATAAGTTTAGAATGGAGGTTTTGGATCTAGGTTAGACTTTTCGCGGAGAAAATCTGTAGGGTTATTTACCTGAAGGAAGTACGGGTGTAATTTTTTTTTGGTTAGGTCTGGAGCTACTTTGAGAACACGGAGCAGTATCTTCTGCATCCATGCTCTCAATGTCCCCAAGCCTGCTGTAGAGTTTGATGGGGTCATATGACCCCTTTTGTTGCCTATTTCTTTTGATCTGTTTTTCTTTGGTGATTTAAGTTGTTGAGTATTATTAAACATCGTTTGGGTAGATGCCTTGAATTTTTGTACTTGGTAATGGGGAGTGTTAGTGCTTGATGTTGACTCGGGTGCATCTGTCTGCGTTTGAGCGTCTTTCGATGCCTTAGGATTGTTCTTCAAGTGGAGAAGGATGGGCCAGGAAGAGATATTTTTGCCTGTACATGTTGGATGTACATTTTTAACCTCCGAATTTCCTTCTTTTGTTTCCAGGAATCACAATCCTTGGAATTGGTGTGGTGTTCTTTTCCACAATGAGGAGTTGCTCTACACTCAACATCCTGGTGAGAGTTATCCCCGCATCGGCCACATATTTGGTTTCTTGAAAAGCGGTCTTCATGATGTCCGTATTTTTACACTTATAGCATCGAAGTGGGTTTGGAATATATACGTCAACCTTCACTTGCAAAAGACCAACTTTGACCAGTCTGGGTACTGTTGGTTTATTGAAAATGAGTATAATGATGTTGGTGTCCTGCAGATTGTTGTTACGTTTGATACGTATTTTGCGGACTGCAGTGACACCTTCACTTTTCATTTCTTTAATAATATCTGAGTCGGTGACTCCAGCCAAGCCACGACAGCGAATGACACCTTTAGACGTATTCTATGTTGTGTGGGCGAACGATGACGCTGAAATATCGAAGAAAGTTTTTATTTTCTTAAGGTTTTCTGTTTGATCTCGTCGCTAACATTCAACAAGTAGGCAGCCCGATTTAAACAGTTTAACACTTTTTGGCGTCCCAATCAATCCGGTTATTGTCTTTTCTATAACGATCGGAGAAAGTGCAGTAAGCAGTTTTGAGGCATCTTTAGACTGGATTACCATGAAACGTGGAAATGAATCCACACCACATGGCTTGTCATCTGAGTCAGATGTTGTTTTGGTTCGTTTTAATTGATGTTTTTTGAAATTTCCATGATGGTGTCTTTAAAAATTCAGCATCCGTGCTCACAACCCGCCAAGGAGTCCAACAAGAGGACACTCTTTAAAGTGTCAGGGATACTCAGATGTTATACTTAATTGGTAAAATCACCTTCCAGTGAGACATATTCAGCCGGCAAAATTACCCCCGGATTGACCCATTAAGTCATCGCCATTTCATTACCATAATTTTGTAGCCCTTTCTTCACCGAGTACCACCATCCACCTACCTGAATTGTGCATTACCAATAGGAATGCAAATAAGAAATAATCTCAAAACACGTTTACTGTGAGCACCTCTTGACTATAAGATGCTGATAACAATAATGTGTGAAAAAAATTTTCAAGTTATGGTTCGTTAGATACACTACTGGACCAACAATTCTTTATTAAAATTTTTTTATACTTAGTAAATTTTGAGCAAAAGTGGAAACGCTTAATATATTGAATCAAACCGATTAC